ATGCAAGGGCAGGTGTAGTTGGCTCAGTTGCGTGAAAATTCTGTCAGGTATACTTGATGTAATAATAAAATAATAATATATATTATCTAGCATTAATCACAAATAATTAATCAATATTTATCAAAACCATGTGTTTTAAAATAGTACCTTCTGGGCCAGCCTGTGGCATGGTGGTTGAGATGACTGGATCTCACGTGGCTGACTCCATGTGTTTGAGTCCCAGACATGGGAGCTTGAAAAACATGCTGGGTGCATGTGTGTTCATGCTCAAAATCCTGAAAGGAAGAAAAAATGGAGAAGGAATCACAGCATAACCATAACCCATTTGCAGGGGTGTAGGGAGTGCATTCTTGCTTTCTCTCCCTGTGTTTCTCTGGCCAAATTGGGAAGGAAAAAAAAAGTGCTTTTTGAAATGTTTGGAGAGAGAGATCTGGCCACGCCTTAAGTTGTGTATTCAATTTGTTTGGGAAAAAAAAAAACAATTTTATCTTAGTTTTTGCTTTGTTTTGTGAGAAAATGAAAGGACCTAACCCAGCCTTACCTAAATCTGCAAGAAAATTGAAGTGACACAGCTTATTTCTGAGACAGAAACCACAGAATGAACACCACCACCACCGCTCCCCTCCAAGTACCAAGGGAATCTGTCTTCTTTGGACCCCAGACTTAACCCTGTGGCCAGACTCATTTAGATGCACATATTACTGTGGACAGGAACACGCTAGGAGCCCACCAGGCATGACTACTTCCTCACACACATGATCACGTGCCTGTCACTGCCTTGCCTGAGTCTCAGTTTCAATATTTTCAAGAGAAAGGGAGGACAGGAGGTAAAGAAGAAGGATGGAGAAAGAGAGGGCAAGAGAAAGGGGAACCACGATGTCTACTGGGTGGATTCCCAAGCAATGTAAAAAGGAAATCATACGCAGCGTGCCTGTTTATACAGAATGTCCCAGTGGTTTCCATTCTTAGTGATAAAGTGAAAATGACATTTAGAAAGCAAGTTATTTTTACATATTTTGGTACAGTTTCTTTGGATAAGATAGTGCAGGGTAGCCCTCTGATTTTCAAAAAGTCAGAATATTGTAATATCATTGGGGGAGAGCTTTGAAGAAGAGGAGAGGGTGGTGGCGATGGATGCTATAGAGAAGAGGGTAGGGCTGAGGGTGGAGGAAGCCCTTCGCCCATGAAAGACACGTTAATGATAGAACATGTGTTTCAGAAGTGGACTCCATGGACTGCTCTAGGATTTATGTGTCTTGGCATTGCTGAGTATATTTGTTGCTTGGCTTCTTGGTGGAAAAAACGTTCTCTTCTATGCCTTTTCATTTTTAGGTGATCTGTATCCAACTTCTTTAGCCTAATTCACATCCGACAGCTTTGCATAACAAGACTAAAACAAAGCTAATTTTAGCTGGACAAGGATAATAGCCATTTATGGTTTGGCACTACAGTTGGCCAGAGAAAACAAATTGAAGATGACTTCAAGAAGATTGAATGTGTCCCAAAACATTTTTTTTTCCTACATGAGGAGCAAATCTACTCTCTGATAGTCTGCAAGAAGAAGAATCTCTTCCCAGATCTCTAAATTAAGGATTTTACTTAGTGATATCATTTGACGTGAATCTGAAATTGTCAACATTTATTGAATTATAGCGACCTCATGGTACCTACAGCATAAAAGAGCAACAGTGAGCTTTGGCTTTGGAGAGGAGCTGTAAATCCAACTCTGTAACTTCTCAACCACCCAGCTCCCTGTTCTCCTTCATCTGTAAACTCTGTGAGGATAATAATACCTTACTCTGGCAGGGATTAAATGACTGAAAACACATAGGAGGCTTAGAGCAATGCCTACGGCACAGCAGTAATACAATGGCACTTATTTAAACAGCAATTCTATTTTGTTTTATTCCTAACAACCCAGCTACTTCTTGGATTGTCATTAACTCTCACTTATTTTTTTTTTTTTTGAGAGAGAGATTTTCTTTATAGAGCATGTGAGCTTGCCGGAGAGACAGAGAGAGAGAGACAGATATAAAGAGCAGTCCCTTCTCCTCTGTTCTCATCTTGGGATTTTGGGCACGCACACACACGTGACAAACTCTCACTTCTTTTAATATCCTCAAATAGATATCTGTGTATTCTAATAGAGTCTTGTTAAAATGATGAACTGTATGAAAACAGTCTCTCTTAGTATTCAAAGGGAACAAATCTCTCTAATACTATATTTTGCTCTTTGTGAGAACTATTACATTGAAGTTCCAGTTTTTGTTCAGAAAAAGAAACCCACAACATAAAAGTTGCCCAAGTTTCTTTCTCTTGGTTTCCAGGGAGGGCTGGACAGTACAAAAATAAGTATTCTCCGCTATCTGCTTCACTCCATGGGAGGTCTACAGCTGCATGTCAGAGGTCACATTGGGCCCAGGGGTGTGGCTGTCAGGGGCTCAGTCAAAGCCAATTCGAGACCCAAAATAAAGTCAGGGAAGAATACCTTGGGATAGGTCTCACTTTCCATTTTACCACCACGTTCCTTCTTTTTGGCCACGTTCTATTTTCTGCTCCTCTTCTTAGACTCAATTTTATAATGGGAACCCATTTGTCGTCCTCACCACCCCAGTAGGGACAGGCGTGGGGCCTGGAAGATGGATTGGCAGGTTCTCTAATAGTGGACCTCGTCTCAGGACCTCTCAAGTCTTGACCTGCAAGAGTCAGGTTGGTTTAAAAAAAAAAAATTCAAATTCTGTTATCTTTTGACGTGATACAATACATGGATATGATACTTGATTTGCATGTCAATCTAAACTGCTAAAGCCTGTCTCACTAACTGGCTCTGGAAGGGAAAAAAAATATAATAAACCCCTTGTTTCCTAGATGCCCACTCCCAATTTTTGTATTTCCTCAGAGGTCAGAGTATAATAGATTTTCTAGACTGTAGGCAACCTGTACTGTATCAGCGTTGTTAGGAGGCGGGGGATTCAAAAGTCAGTGGGTTCCCTACCATTGCAAATGCAGGTGGTCTGACGTGGGCTTGGGCAGGCCTTGGCCAGAGGGCCTGGACTACTAAAGGTGATTCCAGGTGATGCTGAGGCTCCCTGGAGTCCTGCTGGCTGTATGAAGCTGGTTAGCCTTTCTCCACATGTATACAACACAGTGGTCCTCCCTCTAGAAAGCAGATCTAAGATAAGAAGTGCTAGCACTTAGAGACACAAAACCCTGGCGAGGGACATGGAATGCAGTGTCTTAATTACGTCAGGTGCCACCTTGTACACAAGCACGGCAGACCATAGGCTAGGTCTATGAATTCTACAGAGAATTTCCGAATGAGAAATCTCATCCCAGAGAACCCCATGGGCAGAGAAAGAAAGTGAATCGTATTTGCCCACCTGTCTCCCACCCCTCGTTTCCAGCTGACCATGTTTTGCCCCAGGAGGTGCTAATTTTCTGTCCTCTGGGATCATCTCCCCCCCCCACCACCACCATTTCTCCAGAAGCTGATCCTGGACCCTATGGTGTTGTGGTTTACTAGAAGCTGTTAGTAGAGGTGGTTTGGCATGGACGGGATGGACATTACTAAAGACAGAGAAAAGTGAAATTGAGGGAATCTGAGAGGGTTAAAAAAAGTGCATCCTGGGACCAGCAGTTAGCGTAATGGCTATGTCGCTGAACCCCCACATAGTCAATCGCGGTTCGCATCCTGGACCCGGTGGCTTAAAACTCACGCCGGGCACGTGTGCATGCATGCTCAAGATCCTGAGAGGAGAACAGAGGAGAAGGGATTGCGGTGTGGCCATCCCCCCGGGGGGTGATTTCTTGCTTTCTGTCTCTCTGTCTCTCTCTGTCTGGCGAGCACATGTGCCCTATAGCAAAAACCTTTCCAAAAATAAAATAAAATAAATAAATAAATAAATAAATAAATAAATAGTAGAACCTATTGAGGGAAGTTCTCAGCTCCTGGGCTGGGGTGTGAGGATGTGTCATGAGATCAGTTGTCCTACTGAAATGCAAAAGCTGGTTCACTTCCCAGCACATGCATTAAAATCCATGAGAGAGATTTCTGGGAAACCCAACTCAAAAGAAAAAAAGCAATTTCTTGGAAATTTCGACATGTACATTTGGTGTTGGGCGTTATGAAGAGAGTTTGGGAACCTAACCAAAAGTGATTTCAAAGTCTAAGGTGTCTGCCACAGAAGGAAAAATGTCAGGGAACTGCTGCATTCAAACAGGTTCAGGTTCATGTAGAGTTACAGCTTGAAAGCTGTCTTTGAAAGTTGCATACATGTAAATGGAACTAGAAAACAGATGTGTAAACTCTGTATCTTGTTCCACTGCTTTAGCTTGAAGGTCAATATTTGGCCTTCTCTATTTCATTTCGAGGGAAGCATTTTTATTCAATGTGTACAGAATTTTAACCCCTATGCTCTTAGGGCGAGTCCTCACTGAGGGAAATCAGGCCTTAGTCCAATGACTTTGTCTACACTCCTCTCCATTCCCTACCCTTAGCCCCCTTCCACCCCCTTTTTAAGGCATGGGTAGATTGGAAGACAAGTGGCCTGACACTGAAAAAAATTCTGCCTTGGTGTTCTAGGTTGATAAAAATTTACCAACATAGACATTTACTTAACTATGCAGTTTGTTGCTAGCCTCTTGCAAAAAAAAAAACAAAAAAAAAAAAAACAGAGAAAAGAATGTTAGCTAAATCATTGTGACCATTTGGAAATATAATTTGAAGTACGTATCTAAGAAATTGCATTACAGTGCCATAAAAATTAGGTAAACTAATGTTGAAAGTAGTTCCTGTGTTGCAGAGATGAATCAGAAAGAGATCTCCCCCACCCCATGGGATGTGCATTTACTTAGCTGTTATCGATAGACTGGGGCCACCTTTGTAAGATCTTGTCCTGTCACTTCAGAATGTAATTTTTTATTGGACTCCTTTGCGTGTACTTTTTACAGCCCATATTCCACTTAGCTGTCAAAATTAGCCTTTTAAGAGGATGAATCATAGCACTCGTGTTTGTTTTTGTTTATTTTGTGGACAAAGACACAGGCAGGTGCAAAAAGCAAACCCCCTTTTGCAACCCAGGGCTCATCGTTCAGTAAGAGTTTGGCTACATCTAAGAAGGAGCATTGTGAAAATAACTTAAAAGGATGAGTCAGATTTGGTCTGTCACGACATCTCAGTACTCCAGTGGTTTCCCGTCATGTTTAGAGTAGAATCCACGGTGGGTAGCCTGCAAGGCCTTAATCTCTGGTCCCGGACTGTTTCATGGTAACAAACACGTAGTTCTCTTACCCCATCTGCTCTAGACACACTGGGTAAGGGAAACTGAACTTGAGCTTGTGGCTATGGAGAAAAGTAGATGAATTCGAGAAGATGCAGGACAGGCAGGTCTTGCTGATAGGGAAAAATGGGAGAATGAAGAGAGAAAGAGAGAAGAATTGGGCTCACCTGGGCCAGTGCTATGGCCTTGTAGTTAAAGGAACTGGCTCCCACATGGCCAACTGCACAGTTCAGATCTCAGCCCTGGTGGCTTGGAAAACATGCCAGATGTGTATGCATGCCCCAGATCCCAGCAGGATGGACAAGTGCAGAAGGGTTTTATGGCATGACGGCGCCTCACTGTGGGCTGCTCTCTTTTTCCCCCGTCTCTGGTCAGCACAGGTGCCCTCCTGGTGGGACAGGAGCTTGGGTGCTCTGTGTGATGCTAGAGGCCACAAGAGAAGGCGTGTGCATGTCCTGAGTCTGCCAGAACATTCTGGCTAGCTGCAGGGTGGGAGAGGATTGTGGTGTGAAGGCCCTGTTTGTGAAGGACCTCTCTCTCTTTCTCTCGGGAAATAAATAATCATAAAATCTGGAAATTAGTTAATTTATAATGGAGAGGCAGTAAATGGTAGCTCTTTCTATAACTGTTACAGAACGTTCATTGAAACAGGATAAATGGTTACCCCTGCCCACGGCACCCACGAATCCCACATTGCCTTGCGTGTCCTGTGTTCACGTTGGAATTCAGTGTTTGCGTCTTTCCAGGAAGCCAGTGGTTCTGGTTTTACCGATGGTGGTACTGCTTATCTTTAAAAGAGCCGCTGCTAGTCAAGTTCACGATTTATTCTAGCATGTTCAGCATTTCTTGAAGTTGGTTCCAAGGCCACGACCAACGGAGCGTTCATGTAAAAATGCAAGCCAGGTTGCTTTCTGGGGGCTCGAACCTGAGCCTCGGCGTTTTAACATGCTCCCCCATGCTCCTTACGGATCCTAAGCTTGAACAATCACTGCTTTAGCGAATTCATTTGGAACTTACTTTGCTGGGGCAATTGAAAGCTGAGCTTGGGCCAGTAGGTGGCACAGAGGTTAAGGTGGCTGGATCCCATATGGCTGATGGTGGTGTTCGAGTCCTGAACCTGAGAGCTTGAAAATCACGCCGTGTGTGTGTGTGTGTGTGTGTGTGCCCAAGATCCTGGGAGGAGATTGGAGAAGAAAGGATTGTGGTGTGGCAATCCCTGGAAAGCGAGGGGTGGCTTCTCTCTCTCTGCTATAGGGTATGAGCACACATACCCTATAGCACGCTCCCTCAAAAAGAAATGTTGAGTTTACCTTGTTTTCACTCCGTCTTAGCAGGGAAGCTGAGCACCTGTCAGATACCTAAGAAGACGAACTTGTAGTTGAGAGGCCTGGGGGTCTTTTGCGGGAAATGGGTGTGTTTCAGACCAGGCGGGCAGGGCACACCTCAGCACCCTTACGTCTTCTGACCCACTGGGAGCAGAGAATTCAGACCCAGACAGCTGGCATCTGCACAGGCCACTGCTGGGGGCTGTAGGGAGGTTCCAGAAATCCTGCAGCAGGCACTCCATCTCTCCTCAGGAGCCTGAGCATCCCTTTCTGACATCCCTTCCTTCTGGGGTTTTTTTGGTGCCTTCACAGAGCTGGAGTGCAGGGACCAGAACAGGTAAGATCAAACAGCAAAGCAAGCTCCTGGCACAACCACACTGCTTCCTTTAACTTCACAAAGATCCAGATGTAGTGGAGGGTTTCTTTCTAGTCATTTCATCACAAAACAACAGTTCTTGTCGCCATGGTTAAATACAGACCCGTCTCTGGCTGCTTTAACGTCCTGTAGGGGACACAGGCTGTCCCAGCACAATCCCCACCTGGGGAATTGAACACACTCACAAATTTAAATTCAATTTACCACATTCATGTGAAAGGGGACTGGATTTCTAAGCCCGCTGATGGGAGTGACATTGAATACAAGATTGGGTAGCACTTTAAAGAACTTTCCTTTTATTAGCAGCTCCATAATCACATTAACTTAGGCTGAAAATGTGAACTAATTCTATCCCTAGAGGTCCGCGTGGTAATAATTGTAGAAATCTGTGAAAAAGGATAAATACAATTCAATAATTATATTGATAAATAAAATGAAAATCAACTAATTGTGTCATTCACTCAGATGCCCGCCTTGGCTGTTGCTGGCTTTCTGCTTGGCTGCCTGCTAAACTTTTTCTGTCACACTTCAATAAATTTAATTGTGCAGAATAAATGAGCTAATTTTTGAAGTCACAGGCTCTGTTTGCAAGATAAGGGTGGTGATTTATTGACCTCCTCCCGCTCTGTAAGAGCAGCACCCCCTTCTCTCCTGACAACTTGGCCCTGGCTGTTTTCTCTCTCTGTCTGGTCTGGTCCTCCTCACCATCCTGCTAGGTCCTGTCCTCACCTCCCCTCTCTTTATCTTCCCTAAGATCTCTGACAGGGGATCAGCAGTTAGCATAATGGCTATGTCATTGGACTCCCATGTAGTCGACCACGGTTCGAGTTCCGGACTCAGCGGCTTGAATTCATGCCGTGCACGTGTGCATGCATGCCCAAGATCACGAGAGGAGAATGGAGGGGAAGGGACTGCGGTGTACTGCGGTGTGGCCATCCCCCCGGGGGGTGATTTCTCGCTTTCTGTCTCTCTGTCTTTCTGGCGAGTGCACGCGCCCTATAGCAAAAGCATCTCCAAAAAAAAAAAAAAAAGCTCTCCGA